ACTGATAGCCTTTTTGCCTATTCATGAGACTTGATTAAAATTTGGTAAGCTTAAAGTGACCCTTTAAAGGGTAATAAAATCCCATGACAATTATTTACCCTTAAAAAGGTAACAACTAACACTTCATGCTCCAATTTTGAGTTCAATTCCACACTTCTATTAGAATCTAGAATGAGATGATGAGCTTTCTTGTTGGTTGTATTAATGGGTTTCTTAATCATTTGTTCTTTTCTTTTTATTATCATATCCATAACAGCATGACTATTTGAAAGTCTGGCTTTCTTTTGTTGCAAATACTGATTGAAGATAAATTGTTTTAAAGGCACATGGATATCATCCAAAATTTATTTACTCATCTATACATGCTGAAAAATTATTTATGATGCATTCTCATACTTCATACATTTGCAGGTTGGGTCAATCGCTTTGCCAATGCTGGTGATACTGCTATAGTAGTTGCAGAAAATGCAGCACTCCATGTACGAAAATAATCCTGATCCAATGCTCATTGTTGCACGATTTTTATCATGTTTTTAGACGTATAGATTCTTTAGGCAATTTAAATGTTTTATGAAATCACATCTTTTTTTTTTTTTTGAGGTGAATGCAGACCGCTACATCCTGAGTTCAATGAAAAAATGATATTGAATCTCCGCTTTTTAAATTCAGGCAAAACAAGGGTGTGGTTATAGAGTGATGTAGCATTACATAAAGAATTGGGGTTAATTTACTATGGCTAAAGTTATAACTGTCACAGAGCTTTCTGATTCTGATCTTCCAAAGTATTCAAGTTTAAGAAGATTGTCTCCCCACATTGTGTCAGTTTTACCTGCATTGCTTTTGTTTCTTTAATTTCGTTTTCAACGCTAATGTTGCTATTTTTGCAGCTGAGGCAAGCAAAAGACGAGATTGTTACTGCTAGCAAAGTGGCATACAGGTTCATGGCTGGTCTAGCCTCTAATTCCCGGGCCACTCCAGAGTCCCCGAGCTATTCAAACAGAGGTAGCCCTCGATTTCAGGGTGCATGGTTCAAGAACTTGATGTCCATTGGTGCCAAGCCATCAGCTGGCACTTCGGAGATTCCAGATGAAACTGATGACAGTCCATTGTACCGCCAGAAGCCTTCGGAGCTATCGCAGCACAACTCGAGGCAAAATAGTTGATATTACTGTACAAGTATTGGTACCGTGCATTAGACAAAAATTATTTACAACTAGACATGTTATCAACGTATCAAACTGTAAATCTCGGGTTCCTCCTTGTTATTCAGAGTGTCTTTGCAGCAAAAACAGATAGTTTGATCATTGTTTTATAACAAAGTATTTGGAAGTTGATCTCCCCCTTAATTTAATGCGTATTTGTTGATGGGATTTGGCTGCAGTTGATGGCGCACTCGTCTGAGCCACAAGGATAAGAAGTGGACAGAGGCATACATACGGGTGCCATCTTTTTCTTGTTCGTTTGGTTGCATCCCTTTCCATACGAGCAATTTGGTCTCATCCTCTCCCACCTCTCTGCCGGGCGACAGAATGGTGCTGGGCTTAACGTATGATGGGCCAACATCACGAATTGCTCCATATTCTCTGGTGCTTAATTCTATCGCTATATGGTGATGATTTTGGAATCAGAACTCAGCTTTACAAACTCATCAGGGTAGGAACCTTATATCCAAGACGAGATCTTTTGAAGCCGACATGACCTCGATGATGTTTACAATGGCAAAGTCGTATCTATCCGCCGGAGCATACGAGATCACGGGCTTCCCTTCGTCCAGGTTGATGAGGTACTCCTTAGACAAAGGGCTTGAGGTTGCCGAAATCGTACGAGAGGGTGAACAATAGCTATTCCAATCTTAATCAAATAATTCCCAACATATTTTGATTTGATAATAATGACAAGTATGGGGGAAGAAAACTAATAGTTCGTGCTTTGATTTCGCCGATTGACTCGCAGAACAGAGTCCAGAATTGCCAAGCCGCCATACAATTTACCGGCACATATATGAGAATGCATCGGCGTCGAAATCATCTTCCTTCACCGGTGATCAATTGGGAGAATACGGTGCTCTCCGTGGAGTCCGATTGCCCCATGCCCGTTCCGGCCATGTCGTCTTCCTGTTTCACGTTTAAGCTGGTCGATTCCACTCCCCTCGTCGCCGCCACTGGAATCAGCAACTCCACAATGCCACTATCCTCGTGTGGTTCTCTCTTCAGCTCTGTTACATGAAGCTGGAGAGCATACTCCAGGTTCCACAGCACATCAGCAAAAGTAGGCCTATCGACGCCGTAGTCTGCGACACACTTCTCTGCTGTCTCACCGAACTTCCTCAGCGAATTCCTATTGATGTTGCCGACAAGCCTATGATCGATGATCTTTTCGAGCTGGCCTTTCCTCTGCCACTGAAGCGCCCACTCCGCCAAGTTCACCTGCTCCATCGAAAGGCTCCTATCGATCACCGCCCTCGCACATAGCACCTCGAAAAGCATCACGCCGAAGGAGTACACGTCGGACTTGTCGGTGAGCTTCTGCGTCTTGAAGTACTCGGGGTCGAAGTATCCGAAGGTGCCCTTGACTCCCGTGGTGACGTGGGTCTCGCCGCAAGAAGGTCTCAACTTCGAGAGACCGAAGTCGGAGACCTTGGCCAAGTAGTTGTCGTCGAGCAAAATGTTGGTGGACTTGATGTCACGGTGGATGATGGTGTGCGAGTGGCTCGCGTGGAGGTAGTGAAGGCCCCTGGCGGCCCCGATGCAGATCTCCAGCCTCTGCTTCCAAGAAAGACACGGCTTATCGGAGCCGTACAAGTAAGTCCTGAGCGGTCCCTTCCCCATGTACTCGTAGACTAATATTTTTTCCGATTGCTCCTCGCAGTACCCGATCAGTGAGACCAGATGCCGGTGGCGGATCTTGGACAGGATGAGGATCTCAGTCTGGAATTCCGGGTATCCTTGTTTTGACCCCGGCATGGCTCGTTTCACCGCGACCTTGGTGCCGTCGGCGAGGACACCCTTGTAGACCTTCCCGAACCCACCGCTTCCGACCACAAGGCTCTCGTCGAAGCCATTAGTAGAGGCCTTGATGTCGATCAGGGGGATGTGAAGGTCAAGATTATATCTGGGCAGCAGAGGCAGGGGCAGAGACTTCGACCTGCACCTCTTACGTATGAAGACCAAGACAAGGGACAGGAGGCTTGTAAGAACAAGGCCACCAACAACGGCGAGGACTACCACTGCAACAGCCACGCCGCTCTTCTTGGTACGGCTGGAATTCAACGAATGGTTGGGAATTCCGTCGAGGCTGCCGAACGTGTCGTTCACTTTGAAGATTTCCAGCCCATTGAGGATGGCGTTAGCATCCCACGGCGAACTATCTAATGACCGGCCAATGCTGATATTAATCATTCCCGCGCTTGGGCCTTCCGCGTCGAAGTCGATATAGAAAGCTTCCGAAGGAGAATCAGTGTGAAAGCTGGAATGTATCTCAGTTTTCAGGTTCCCCACGTAGAGGACGAAGATGATTGAATTGTTGTCTATGAAGTCGCAGAAATGTGTTCGAACCAAGTACGTGTAGCCGGCGACCACAGGGAAGCTCCATGTGACATTGAAGTTAAAATCGGGGTTGCTGGCCGGCATCCAGCTCGGGATGTTCATGGTTCTGGCCGTACTGTAGACTGTCGGCGGCGCAACCTCTGCAGTGTCGTCAACCTTGTACGTGATCCGGTCGGGGTCCGTGCTGTTCACCTGGGAGGTATTCTTGTATGGGAGGTAGTCATCGTCGGGGATCCACGTCCTCCAGAGGGTGTCGTTGGCCGGAGTCACTTTCGGGCCCCCGACGTTGATCCTGTGGACAGTCTCGAGCGCTTGATGGGTCACTTGGCCAATATCTTTAAGTGTATCTTCGTCCTTGATGAGATAGGCCGGCGCAGTGAAGACCTCGATGGCGTTGACGAAGGCCAACGGCGAACTCGAACTGGGAACGAAGGTGACATCGAGCTCACCAGAGTCGACCCAGAGGAAGTACTCCTTGATGGTTGGGACCGTCGAGGTCGGGGCGGAGAAGTCATCGAGGAGGACGAAGCGTTTTAGAGCGATAACGTCAAAGCGGGCGGCGGAGAGGTCGTAGCGACGGTTGGAGAACGGGAGGAAGTGGAGGCGGAGGATGTGGGTTCCCGAGGAGTTAATAGTGAAGCGGTACGAGGCAGAACCGGTGAAAATACGGGCGGTGAAGTAGAGGGGGGAGGAGGGGGCTGCGGAGGTGTTGGTAACGGAGCTAGACTTGGCGGAGTCGGAGAGGAAGGGGGAGTCGGGGACGAAATCGCGAGAGGGGGTGTCGGTGGCGATGATGTCGCGGTGTGCGGAGCCGCAGCTGAGGAAGTAGGAGGTGTTGGGGGTGAAGGCGGTGGTGGAGGTGAGAAAGAGGGGGAGGAGGAAGCTCAGAGTGCGGAGATCCATTTTGGCCTTGCGGAGAATTGTGAGGGCTTCGAAGATTGCAGGGGGTTAGTGGACTTGGAATAGGACCTTTGCGACCACCTTATCCTGTAGAACTAATAAGACTCATCTTATTCACTCATGGCAGCTCGACTGCAGCAGTTGCCTGCACGAGGAGATGCAGCAGCTTAGACGAAACTTGGGAGGAATAGTCATTGCACGACTTGTCTTGTTGACCCAAGTCAACCAAGAAAGATGGAAAGGAAATACTCGCCACACACTCGCAGAGGTCGCCGATCGACTCTGTTTGATCGTTGACGCAGGTCATATTAGTTTGCCGATCACACCTTAATGAGCTCTGAGAGCCCTGCATCTCAGACACAAACTAAAGAGGTGAACTGTGTAAAGTTTGAAGAAGATCTGGTTCATGCCTACATCGAGCAATTGCCACAAGCTTGCAATTAGCCGTGGCTGCAGTCTTTTTCGTTCTTCGTTGCCAGTGATCATATGGATACCAGTGGATCAACTCGTCCTATCACAATTTCCCTTTCTTCCTATTTAGCATCACAACACCACTCACAAAATACAAGGTATGCAAATTATCGATATATTACAGCATAATTTTTCTTCTCATCTGGCACTGTGGCATTGCCTTGTGCTTATTTTTGTTCACAAGCAAACAACACAGCAGTACAAGCATCACCAACTGAAGCTAATGGATTCAAAATGTAGATTGTCTGCCAGGCCTGATGAGCAAATGGCAGCTACCTCATGCCGCAAACCACCAGGACCACTGGCCATCACCCCAACATTAGAACCATCGAACTCCAGTAGCATCTCTGCAAGCACCAGTTGATGGTACCAATTAATTAGAATATATACATCTCAACACAAAATTCGAAAGGAGCGCAGGTTTCTTACTCTTGAGAGGTGGTCTTCCACCAAAATGCACCTTGGTGGCTTTAACAAGGGACTCTTGCGGAACGCTTTCAAGCTCTCTATCCGCATTGTAGAACCAGGAACTGGGCGACGTTGTCGGTGTCGGTGCATCTATATTCTGGATCTGTCTCGCTTCCTTTGAGTTCCCTTTCTTGTTCCACAGAACCGCTGCACTTGCCGCCGCCATTATGCAGATACATATGAAAAGTAAATTTAGAACAGATCTCGAAGCATACGAGAAGATTTGGTTGGTGTTGTGGTCGATTGGGTATATGTAGTAACGCTGGAGGATGCCGATAAGTACGAGGAATGCAACAAAAGAGGATGATACTATCGCAGCCAACCAAAGCCAGCCATTGGGACCGAGCACCGGAGCGATGGGAACGTCAGAGGGAAGGGGCTTGAACCATATGGTTCGGATGTTGGTTTGCGCCTCATCCGTGGCAGATTTCTCTCTGGTCACAAAGGCTTCGATTCGCAGTTCCAAGCCAGAAAGGTCCGAGACATTTCCAGATATAGGAAGGAGGAGATCGAGCATCGTAAGGTCGGCGGCTGTCTTGAAGGCACATACGAGGAGGACGGCAGGGGTTGGACGATTCAGAGTTGTCCTCTGGTGGATGAGCTCCCGAATTATAGAGATGAAGGGTGTGATTCCACTGCCACCGCTCACTAGTATCAAGGAATCATACCTGTGAGGATTCAATTTTTCGCACGTTAACGTCAACAACGGACGACAACAATATTACTGCTTCAAATCATGTTCTTAAGGACCTTAGGAAGTTCTTGGACACCGGACCATATGGGCCTTCGACCGAAACATCGAGGCGATCTTGTGGAACCGGCGAAGATAATGTTCTGTAGAGCTTCTGAGTCCAGCTTCCTTCTTTCTTGATGATTACGGACAGCCGCTCAGGTTCCAAGTTGCTGCTGGAGCTCACAGTGAAGGGGTGCCATTGAAGTGATGAAACTCCCGGAACGTTGATGAAGATGATGCTGAGAGGCTCAAAGGTCAGTCCTACACAAAAAGAGTCAACGTGAGACAACCATGAAGTAATTGTGTGTAGGTTTTCTGCTAGCGAGAATCGAGCAACTACTGACCTGGGCTCTTTGCGAAGTTTAGCTCAATGGATTCAGATGGCAAAAGGCGTGCGGAGACCAACCTAACCTTGGTTCTTGATTGCAGGAACCGCAGGTAGCGGTCGACCATGAAAAGGTAAACACCGGGAAGAATCATGCAGAAATGAGAGATTCCCACATGCATCAGGTAGAAGAAGAGGAAGACGATGTAGAGTTGATGCGTGTAGAAGAAGAGCTCGAACATCTTGCGCCTGATGCGAGGAAGCGTCATCGCCCACATAGTCAATCCCGCAAGCAGAGCTATCTCTCCAGCCACATAGGCTGTCCCCGTGTTGTCCCATTTCACCATCTTCCACCATAAGAAGCCATTAACTTAAAAGGGTTTCTAATCATAAGGATTATGCACAATACAACATATTTGTAACCTCTATTTGTTTTTCCCATGAATACTTCATTCTAAATTGTATTAAGCTGCTTTTTTGTCGTTCTACTTATTGTTAAAATTGATGCTTATGATATGTCCCTTTCACCTGTGAACAAATCTACTTGACGAGTTTTTGGAATGTCAAGTGAGAGAAGACAAAAAGTAGTACCATATCAATTTGGTCGGTGACTGCCCAGTAAACTATATAACATATGCCATGCGCCGAGAAGACAGCCATGGTGATGTGCCCAAGCCAAACGTGATATCTGATGCTGGACTCGGAGGTGAGCCCAAGGAGTGGCAAGAGTGACGACCCGCGAGCAACCGGGAAGAAGAGGAAGGCGCAGCAGAGGTCTCCAACAAACCCCAACCATACGGCCGCCATGTCCAGCCTAGCTTGCCATCTGCCCCATATATATATATATACATATGCACCACAATCTCGTTAGAGAAGAGAACGCAGAGGATATATATATATATATATATATATATATATATATATATATATATATAGTGTTCTTCATGCTTTGTCTTACAACTTCACTCCATCATCGGTTTGATGCAGCTGGGAGAAGTTAGCGACCAGGAACGTGGAGTAGAACCAGACGAGAAGCACCAGAAACATCAAGCAGAAGGTTAACTCTACGCCGGAAACTATTCCAAGCGGCCAATTCACAGCCACAGGCCTCTTCCATGCTGCCAGACGATGAATTGAGCTGCCAATACACAAATAATAGAAGTCGCATGAGAAAAAAAGGAATTCCACCATTTCTTGGGAATCCCACTTGTGGTGCTACATGTATTGTATACCTCTGGGAGGTGTCACTTTTCTTCACCAGGTGGAGATAAAGACAGCCAAGAACTGAGATGAATAAGATCGGGAATGTGTTGATCAAGATGTTGGAACCTGCGCCATAAAGTGCACACAGTATCAGTATATAGAAAGCAAGTAGTGGGAGCAATGGAAACCTTGTAGAGAGAAGAATTTATTGCTAGCTTCTCAATATCAAAGACAGCACCACACCTTGCCGTCCAAAATACGTTGAGTCGGTCTCTGCGCGGATCCGTAGCGACCAGCCATTTCGGTATGTGTTTGTAGGCATAACAATCCATATCATCAGCCACCCAGCAAACACAGCTGCAGCAAGCAGCTGCAGTGCCTTCAGGACCAACCCCTTGCTCCCGTTCCGAAGAGAGAATCCTCCGGCGACAGCCGTGTCCATCTCTTCCTCTCAAAGCTCAAATTCGGGTGATGCTTTCGTCGATATGACACCGGCAGGGTGAAGATGCCTGTTTTATAGGGTAACTCGGAGGACGAATGGATTACGGCGCACCCTACCGGGAATGAAAGGCATGATTCACGTCCTCCGTTCATCCGCATGCGTCCGTTAGCAGGCCGCCATGTGTAGGTCAACTCCAATGTGCGTCGGTTATCGGTTGAATTCAGATTAATGTTCAGAGGTCTACTTGCAGTGCCTCCACCAGTGCCGTCACATTCCTTTCAATGACGCCACGTTACATTCCCTTCTTTGGCCGGATGTGGGAAACGGTCCTTCGGAGGAACGCAAGATGCATGAGGACGGTGATGTCAAGCTACACATGTTGCCATGAAACATCCATGATTGACAGTTGACAGGGCTTTGTGGAGGCTGCTCATTGGTTGGCATGGCAATGAAATGTAGGGGATTGGGAGCGCCCGTAACAGCTCGGACAGGCTCGTGCTGCGAGTTCGGGGCGCAGGTGCCCCGCGCGCGGCGGGCGCGTGCGCTAGTGGGTACAGTGGCACGCGGGGGCAGGCGAGCACACGCTCGCTATCGCGGCCGGGCCACACGGGCTGGCTTATGTGGGTAAGGACATCGACGCATTGCTGGTCACGTGTCATGTTTTAGAATTGCTCCCTACTAGTAACAGAATCTAAGCGTGGCAGCCTGACCGACAAGATTCGGCAGCTGGATGGAAATTTTGTCTCACTAGATTTCTGATGAGGTGGGTTAACCCCATATCTACCATCTATTATGTCTCGATTATATATATATATATATATATATATATATATATATATATATATATATATATATATATATATATATGATCAATTTGATTTAGATTTATAATTTTAAGATCTGGATATGATATTAACATCAATATTTACAAAATATTATGTTATAATTAAAAAGAAAATAGGTTAAAATATAATTTGATCTCCAAACAAAGGAAAAGACAATCAATCTGCATATGATTAGAAGTATGAATATGATATCGAAATCAACGTTCACAAAAGAGTGAGTCTAAGTTGGAAAGAAAATATGTTGAATTACAATTTGACCTTCAAAGAAAGAAAATAAGGGAAAAGACAATGTAAATAATTTACATGTGAATAGAGATACAGGAATTCAAGTCTTGGGAACACTATTATTATTCAATCCTGAGTCTTATTTAACTATATTTTTAGTTCATCTTCTTTTATCTCAAACTAATTGTATATGATATAGGTTGTTTCAATTCTAGTAATATAAGAGTATTCTTTTGAATTATTCTTTTATTTTATACATATGAATATTTATACAAACTTTATATAACATCCCTAGCTCGATGGAAAGTTGCGGATGAATATAATGTTATAATTCTATTGATTTACTTATAAGAATATAACGCTAAAATCAGAACACATAACTTCTATATAGTAATAATTAGACTAATTATATTTTATCTCATGTAATTAGTTACATTTAGTACCCCGATTCTTATAGTTTTAAAAGTTACATTGAAATCTCTATATTTATGAAAGTAAAACATTTAACCTAGTTGCTCTAACAAAATTTATCTCTTGATTTTTAATCCTATAAAATTATCTTTTTAAGATCTCAATGTTTAACTTTCGCAAATATAGAGATCAATGTAACTTTTAAAAATGTAGAAATCAAGATACTAAAAATAACTAATTACAATAGGTAATATATAAATAACCAAATAATAATTATATAATTTAGTCTATAATCAATTTACTCATAAGATATATCATGTTTCTATCATGTAACTTTTAAAAAAATAAAAGATAATCATATAAATAAACCATAACTTAATAAGCACAGTGACTCACATGCAAATCAAAACTTATCATAAATAGATATTTTCTTAAAAACATATAAATTTTATATGCGTTCAACATATGCTCTCGAAATATACATAGATATCAAATATTTTCTTTATGCTTATATAATTTATAAAATTTTAAACTTTACATACATTTTAAAATCATGACTTGTTAACATATAATGCTTGAATATCAAATCCTTCATTATTATATCATTCTTATATAGTTTATAAAATATTAGTTTCATATGCATTTCAAATCATGACTTTTTAACTATATTTTTTTAAATAATATATATTTAAATATATTTTTATAATAAAAATATAAATATAGCTAAAGTCACATATTAGATAATAAAACAGTACAAGACTATCATTTATATAAATATAGCTAAGAGTTCATAACATAAATATAGTTAAGATATATATGTTGGAATATAAGTCGTAGTAGTATCAATGGTTATGATCATATTAAATCCTCATGGCATGGCTTATAATCATGCTGCTATGATCATATTAAATCCTCGTGGCATGGCTTATAATCATGCTTAACTCTAATAGTATAGATAACACATATTTTTCTAGTGTCAGGTCTTAAATTATTTTTCGAAATATATTGGTATAGATAACACACGTTGGAATAAACTAGTTTTTGAAATATATTCAAACATATAATCAGTATTGATAGGGTCCAGATCATCAAAATATTAACCAAACAACTTCCATGTTACTAAAAATATTATATCAATAATTTTTTTTACAAAATTAAAATTTTAATAAATCTTTTTATATATTGTTTCAAAATTGATATAATGATACATCATTTAAAACTAATAATATTCACATATTTTTTTAATCCTTTTTAAATATATTATTGAATTGATATTTTCATATGAATAAATAAATAATATAAATAAATAAATACTTGTAACACAATAAATAACTATTCAAATCATAAGCTTTTCCAAATCGTTAACATATAATTCTTTATGTAATGCTTTTAAATAATAAATAAATTCATAATTCAGGTAAATCATATGTATTTATAAATTTTAAACATTCATATTAATATTTTAGACAATAGATCAAATGGAGTTATCATGTTATCCTGATTATATATAATCCTCCATACATCTTTCCTTTTGTTTTTTTTTTTTTTAAAATAATATTTTTTTATTCTATCCACAACATAAATATCAAATCATCTAAGAACATCAGAATCAATCAATTATAGAAGAACAAGAAAATTCAAAACAGTGCATAATACAATTTTTCTAAACTGAATTCATTTTATATCAAAACAAGTCCTCCTCGATACTTTTTTTCCTTCTATTTTCTTTTTATTATTTTCTCCTCTTTTTTTTTTCTTTTCTTTCTTTCCTTTCTCTTCTTCTTCTTTTTCTTCACTTTCTTTCTCGCTTCTTCGTCTTCTTTTCTTTCTTCTCACAGCCGCCCCCCTATCATCTATCTATTCCTTTACTCTCCTCTTCTCCATTCTCTTCTTTTCTTTCTTCTCACAGCCGCCTCCCCATAATTATTCCCTTCTTCTCTCTCTCTCTTTTGTTTTTCTTCTGGTCTTAGAGGCGACGGGCAAACCTTTTTTTTTGAACTTTTTGTAATTTAGTCCCTATAATTTTGTTATTCATAATTAGATTTTTAGAAATAATTAAGATATTACACTTGCGCAAAGCCCCCACATTTAAATCATTCCATAGTAGTTTGAATTCAAGATATAATACGAAAGGTGACACATTTCACCAATAGTGTTAATTCATCGCTCTTTATTTACAATTACATTTGAAAATGACTTATAAATTTTATTATGACAATCTCTTATTCGTTGTATATGGATCTGATTTGTATCAAGTGTATCAACAATCTTGTATATCAATTTCTCTCGATATATTATTAATTATTTTAGTGTAAAACTTTTTATTGCTAATAGATTAGTAAAAATATTAATTTGATAGATAATTTATCGATACATAATTTTACTTGGAAAAGAAAATATCTTGTATTAACATATTTAGGTTCATACCCATAAATTTCAACACATGAGATCATATAAACTTTGAAGTCAACTAGTACTATAAAAAAAATTTAATTATAAAAACTAACATAATTAAATCAACTCTTCGTTTATAGCGTTCACAAATGGTAAAGTTGATAGTTTTCTCTCTCTCTCTCTCTCTCTCTCTCTCTCTATATATATATATATATATATATATATATATATATATATATATGGATAGAGAGTCATATGAGAGTTAGCTAATCATAAGTAGTTTTGGAAATGGGTTTAGTGAATCGTGCGACCGCTGTATTAAACCATGTCTAATTTGTTTACAAGGATTATCGAGCTCATGATATTAGGTCTACTGCACCACACATTAAACATCGCTCAAGTTTTTTGTCATCTTATGCCATATGTGTTTATTAGAGTTAATTATAAATTATCCTTATAGTTAGTTATGTTTACGTAAGTAAAATATTTAATCTCGTTTCTCTTTATGTCAACGATTTTATTAATGATAGATACTATAGAAAATATAAAGATAGATAAAGATTCAAATATAACATTTAAAAATATATAGATCAAGATATTAAATATAATTAACTATATAGGATAATATAATATGTAATTAGTCCGTAACTATCAATAGTTTGACTACAACAACTTTAGACGAAGCCTAACAGACTGACTCGCGTTTGATTGTTGACCAAGTCAAAGTGAAAAAAGATGAAAGTGTAAAATCGCTACTACACACTCGGTGAGGTCTTCGATTGACTCAGGTTTGACCATTGAGGAAGGTCATCTTACTTCGCAGGCCATATTTTAATGCTCTTTAAGAATATTCAAAGGGAGATTTGGTTCATACATACATCAAATGATTGACATATTGTGAAAGGGATACGGAAAAAGAGAAGAGGGAAGATAGGGAGGAGAAAAAAAAAAAAAAAAAAAACAAAACAAAAGAAGAGGAAGAAAGCAAAGCAGAGAGGAGAAAGAAAACGAAAGAGGGAAGAAAGGGGAAGGAGGGAAGGAAGAGAGGAAGGAAGAGAGAAGAGAAGGAAGAGGAAGAGGAAGAGAAAGGGTTGTTTTGATATCAAATAGATACAAAAAAAAAGAGAAAAAAAAAGAAAAGTAAATAAAGGGTTCGTGCAATTGATCTTTACTAGAGGAAAGAAAGAAAATAAATAAAATAAATAAAAAGAAATAAAATAGGAGAAAAAATAAGAACGAAAATTGTGGAGGACTTATTTTGATATCAAATATATTCAGATCAAGCTCAGAAAAATTATATTAGGTATTGTTTTGAATTTTTTATATCTTTATTAATTAGATTTATATTCTGGATTATAGGCTGATTAATTTTGATTTTTTTTACTTAATTAGATATTTATTTTAAAAAGAAAATAAAAAGAGGAAAATGTTGATATTAGAAAAATAAGGAAAGCAAAGAACAAAATATGTTGTATTGAGGCTATGTGATCAGGGTAAATATCCGATGACTCAATCTAGTTTATTTTTAAAAGTATTAATGCATGTATTTGATATTTATAAATATTTTTTATTTACATAAATTACAAGTCATTTTATTATCTAAAAGTATTGCAAAAGGATTTATATGTTCACGATTTGGAAAAGCACATGACTTGAACTGTTATTTGTTATGTTACAAGCATCTGTTGATTTATATTATTTGAGTCCTATGAAAATATCTATTTAATG